CGTGAGTTCGGTTCCTGGTACCGGAGAAAAACCAAAACCAAAACCAAAAAAAAAAAAAAGAGATTTCCTTCTTGGAGTTGAGAATGTTTCCTATTCCTAGTTTGCTGAGAGATTTTATTTTATTTATTTATTTATTTATTTTGGTCCTGGGAATTGAACTCAGGACCTTGTGCTTGCCAGGCAGACATTTGTGCCACTGAGCTATATTCCGGCCCTTGCTGAGAGATTTTAGCAAAGACAGATAATTATAAATTCTGTCAGATACTTTTTCTGTATCTATTAAAATGAACACATGAATTTTCTTTTTTAATCTGTTAATATGGTGCATTACATTCATTGATTTTCAAATGTTAAAATAGTCTTGCATCCCTGTGACAATTTTACTAGCTTGTGATATGTTATCCTTTTTCTATATTATATTTGATTTGCTAGAATTTTTAATTTATGTTTATGAGAGGTATTTATCTTCACTGTTTTGTTTTCCTTGTAATATCTTTGTTTTTGTTTTTAGACAGGGTCTTTTTACTAATTCAGGCTGGCCTTGAATTCACTATGTAGCACAGGCTGGCCTCAAACTCACAGTGATCTTCCTGCCTCAGCCTCCCAAGTGCTGGGATTACAAGTATGCACCACCACACCTGGCTTATTGTATTCATTTTCTATTTCACTGCTTTTTCACTGTGATTTGTGCTTACTTTGAGTTTAATTTGATCTTCTTCATTTGCTAAGTTTGAAGCTGAGGTCAAATTTGAGACCTTTCTTTTGTAATTCAGTGCTTTAGCTTCATCTCACCAATTTTGTCTCTTTTTTGGAGACAGGGTCTTGCTATGCAGTTCAGGCTGGCCTTGAGCTCACTTTGTAGCCCAGGCTGGCCTCGAACTTGCAGCAATCCTCCTGCTTCAGCTTCTTGAGCGCTGGGATTACAGGCATGGGCCACCATGCCTGGCCATCTCACCAATTTTGATAGGTTGTATTTTCAGTTTTGTTCAGCTCAAAATACTTTTTAATTTCCTTTTTGATTTCTTCTGTGACCCATGGGTTGTTTTGAAGTATGTTATTTAGTTTCTAAATACCCGAGGTTTTTCAAGAGACCTTTGTTACTGATTTCTAACTTATTTATTTATTTATTTATTTTTGGTGGTTTTGAGACAGGATCTTGTTATGTAGTTCAGGAAGGCCTTAAAGTCAATGTGTAACCTGCACTGACCTCAGGTCTTTTTTTTTTTTTTTTTTTTTTTTTT